CTCGAATCGTAAAGCTACATGACAGGGAGAACTTTTTTGCAACGGATGATCCGAGGGGAAAACGAAGACGGGAGCAAAGAGAGGAAAGGGTAGGGTGCGTGACAGCGCGCGACCGGCACTAAATAGCGGCGCTTTCAAGCAGCGCGGGTCCCCTTCTTCGATGAACGCGTCTCTATTAAATCTATTATTAGCAGTCGGCCGAGTGCGAAAGCATCTCTTTCAATTACCTACGGCTTCATTTCGCTATCGTAGCTCCTTTCGCAGGGATCGAACCGTCCTTTTTTCGAACGTTGCCGGATTCGCCGCAAGTTCCCGAGTATCGGCGCCGTTTCGTTTCCCCGTTCGCGATAACGATCGGCGTGCGGAGAATGCTCGGAGCAGCGGTCTCCGTCTCGATGAACGGGGAAACGAAATTCCCTGGGGCCCGTCGCGGGACCGATCGTACCCGCGAGAGAGGGACGGGTTCCCCGCCCACAGCGTTCGCAAATTCTCTCTCAATTTTCATCGACGCTCTGCAGCTGGGCGTAATTGGCTACCTGTCGTTCGTACGGCTATCGCTCCTTCCATAAGGCCCGCGAGTCGTCGCGACTTTGTGGTCCGGCCGAAAATTACTTCTGCCGCGAGAAACCGCGCGTCGACGCTTCGGGAACGCGTTTATAGGTATCGCCCGTTGGGACGTTGCGTGACGTTCGCGCGTACACCTTTATTATTCCGTTTGTGCATGCCCGTTCGGTTGCCGGCCCGCGAGAGGGTCCATCATTGCCGGACGAGCCGAACCGAACCGAACCGGGGCGGTGGGAGCAACGACCTTTGCCCGGCTCAGCCGTTTCGACAAAAATCTCCGGTATTTTTTTTCGCGACTCCCTCTCCCGGCGTTCTGATATGGAGTAAAATATCTGGCGGGAGGTGCGCGCCGCTTTGGCTGCTACGATTTATAGGTAACGTTCCGGCGACGGTTTCGCATCGGAGAGGGAGGGTATGCGCGCGAGGAAATTTATCACGGCGTACCACTCGCCGCGCGTCCACCGTGGACGCTGTAAATCGGTCTGGGAAGTGGTCCAACCGTTCGGTCGGCCCGTGTCAGCGAAATCGTATAACTTCGTCGCCGTTACCCGGGATAGCTTCGCCCACCGAATTGGTCAGCGATCCTTCTCCTCTCGTGACAAAACGCGGATCTCTCGCGGTTACGATTTGTTAGATCGCGCGAGAATAAAAAATCGGATAACCACAGGAATTTCAAGTTACGTTTCATTTCTACACCGATAGAGACTTACAGTGATTAGAAAAGGGAAGAGAGTGTTCGGACTCTGGTTCAAAATTAATGATATAATGAAATAATAATGGGACGGGGTTGATTGTAAACAGGGGTTGTCACATGGATGTAAAGACTGATGAAAGGTGAGGGATAATTAAAGGAATGAAATCATAAGGGTTGGACAGCACATCTATCGCTAACATGTTCAATCGTGACACAGTCCTATCTTACATAATTCAATAACTTAAAATTAACATAATAGATAGGAAATTTTTCCCTCTTTATTTTCTCATGCGATGAAAACTGAAATTGGAACAAGTACACCCTTGTAAATGAATCTTAATACAAGTTTTTATTATTTATGAGAAGCCTAACAAATTTTCCAAATTAATTGCAAGATCGTAATAAATCAATAAATACAGAATCGTAATTTATTAGACTGCGGATTTTTCTACAAAATAAATTATTTATGATATCAATTTAAAAAATGTGTTTCAAATTTTCTTTTCTCTTTTAGACATTGCAATGTACATTTTACCTTACTTGCAGTATTTATATGTTTTTTACATTTGATTCCCTTGACAAATGCATAAGAGAAGTTTAATAATTGTATAATAAATTGTACGGTAAATCATGAATTGTCCCAATGAAATTGTACTTCGAACGAAAAAATAGAAATAATTTTTACATAAAAGATATCAATCTCTCCATGTGTCCATTCATACCCACAGAATCAGAACGTCTCATTCGGTTTCGTTTTGCAACGTGTCTTAAGACGTATAGACGGCGACGTATATACACTTTCTAATCAATTTGTCACTTCGTGGAGCGAGTAGTGTAATCTCGGTTGATTGAAAGAGTGGAGACTGGTTCGGAGTGCCGTGATTTCGAGGCACTGGGGATCGATCAACGGCCGCGACGACGTTTATTAAGTTTATTCGTTACCCGGCAAAGGGAGCCGTGGGCTCCCGTCTCGGAAGAGTAAAGGCCAGAGGACGGGTAAAAAAGAGGGAAAAGTAGGAAGAAGGAGCGCGGAGGAAGGAAGAGCGAGACCCGATGTCGAGTGGGTGGTCCAATTACCCTACGGTTTCGCGCTCACGAGCAGCACGTGCAGGCTGGTAATAAGACTCTTTCGTTCAAAGCCGAGGCTAAGCCGCGCTAAGCCCGGAGCTGCTTCGGTTTTAGTTACGATTCCGCTGACATCATTAGCCAAACATCTGGCCCACCTCCGCCGTCAGCGTCCTTCTCGTCGTCTAGCTACTCGGAGCCCTCGTCGTCGTTCCGCTTCGGGCCGCTCACGACTGTTTCCTCCCGCGTGTTTGCGCGCTCGTTCGCTCTGCTCGTTTTCAACGACCAACTCCGCGCGGGACTCGCGATCTCAGGGCATCAGCCCTTTGAAATCGACCGGGCTACTTTGCGCGAAACGCTTCCACTTTGATATCGTGCTCTTTGTTTTTCCAGCTCGCGCCGATTCGAACTAACTTCCCTCTTACCAGTGACGGGCTCCACTCGGTGGTCTCCCGTCGCCCACGACAAGCGACGATTAATTTAGCAACTCGACGCGCGGCTACGCCTTCTCTTTCTCGTTCCGGGGTGGAGAGCCTGTCTCCGCTTCAATTTAGGTCGTATCGATCGAGGAAAAATAGTTAAGTGGAACGTCCGTTCGTTTCTCAAGTTTCAAGAAATAATTACTGAATTATTTAAATGAAGTACAAGACATTCTACAGGAATTATGTTACTTGAAGAAGTCGATGTATTAACTTAATACAGCGGTAGTAAAAGTGAACCGCGAATAAGATATGAAATCGCTTGGGCCGTCGAGGTGGCTCGTCGGAGCGATCGTATGCAGCATGAAATGTTTCTTCTTCCGTCTGGGGTACACGGAAGCGAGTGACGGAAAGGATCTCGTCAGCCCGAGGCTAATTCGACGGGTGGACTTTGACCGAGGCCACCTGTGCATCCGCCTCGTCGTCGTGGGTGGCCTTATGGTAACGCGAAACGAAGATGACTTCTGGGGTAGATTTCTAATGGGATCAACGCGTACCTGTCCAAATTCGAAGGTCCGATATATTCATGACGAATTAATTCCCTGCAGAATTATTGGTGCATATATGATTTTCGATTGGAGGATTGAAACTTGAGAAACAGCGCTTTATATGCAGCAGCCTGATAGTTGAATTCCATTCGGCGTTCCCCAGCAGCGGAGCGCGGTGATTGCATCCCCGTCGGCTGTTTTTCCCCGAGTCTCTCACCCTCGCACGACGCTCGATCGTTTTCCGGGCTTCTTCTAATTTTACGAGCCGTTGACCCTCGATCGATGGAACGAACCGTTTCGAAATGGCCGGCCGTTTTCCGCTACGCGCCGGTTCCGATCCCGTGACGTAATTTTCGAATGTCGAACCGAATCCCCCCCGACCCGATTTAAGATAACCAGATAAACAGATTCGCTATATATAAGAATCGAGAATTCCAAACTTTATGGGACTGAATTATAGACTGTGGATTCTTATACAAGAAACAGTTTTGTGATGTCAATTTAAAAAGTAAAATTCAGATTGAGATTTCTTTTCCAAAAATATTTATGTATGGCATGCTTTTGATGTTTTCCATATTTTTTGACATTGCACAGGTCGGCTTTCCAGAATTCCGCCTCTAATGTGATAAAATAAGTTTTTACGAACTTTTTACAATAGTTTCTTTTAGATTTGACTTTTATTTTCAAAGATTGCAAAACAATGTAGGTAAAAATAAATTTCTGGATTTTCCAGTCCTAAGGCAATGAAAACTATTTGTATTTCTCCTTTTATGTGCTTGGCATATTGTTCTAATTTTCATTAAATAAATGCATCAAATTCGCGGGGTATCTTTTACTGACATTTAAGTAATTATAGTAGATATGTAGGCCAGTCGAGTACATGAGCAAAAATAAACTATATTATTGATTTTACAATTAACATTTAACGATGATATTCATAAAGTTATACAAGTAGACTAACTTCCTCATTACGTACATTTTATAATTAGAGTGAATTCTGGAATGTAGTATTTTCTCGTAGTACGGGACAGATTAATGAGAATAACGATCCGTGAAAGATATTAGCTCATTTGCATATTGGAAAGCTAGGTGAGATACTGAAAAAACGTAGGGATATAATAATAATTGAAGGTTTCCGTGTGAAAACATCGTACGACGTTGTACTATGTAGTTATACATACATTATTATGTACAAGTAGATAGAAAGAGAATGAATAACAATTCCAATCAACTTACACTTCACATACCCGGCAATTTTGTCATCTCTGCTTACCAATTTCAATGAATATCTATAATGACTATTTAATTTCATTCAGTACTTTATGTATATAATGTACTTCCAATGAAACGCGTTAAAATCATAGTAAATGTCTCAATTTCTGTTCATGTTATACTTGCCATTTTAAACATTATTTTAAAATTATAAAAAAATACAATAATAAGTAAAAATTGGGGCAATTATTGTAATATTAAATGATTAGTGTTATTTTAATCAATTTCTAAAAAAATTGTGTTGTCCTTTAATCTAATTGTACAGCTTGCTTTCATTTTCAATATTTCATTATCGCTACAGCCTTTGACTGTACTTTATATTTTATTATAATTATAAAGATGACATTTTTTCTTTTTTTTTTAACTAAAATACATCTTTGATCTAGTTGTCTCGTTAGTAAATCCTACAACGAATCGTCTCGCTGGTTTGTGTTTCAGATCACGAAGCTGAAGATCGACAGCAATCCGTTCGCGAAAGGTTTCCGGGACTCGTCTCGCCTGACGGACTTCGAGAGGTAATTGTTGCGAGTCACCGGAGCTAACCTAACGGTGATCAAGCTTAAGGGAGCGAGTACGCGCGTAATCGAGCAGCTTCCCTTTCAGGGAAACGATGGAGTCGATGCTGGCGGAGCAGCAGTCGCTGAGGTTTCCGCATCGGCTCCCGTTCGAGATGGATCAGCTGCAGGCCGGCGCGGTGAGCAACCTCAGCCTGGAGGAGAAGGCGTTATGGGCCGCGCGGTCGCAGATGCTGCTCCGGGCTGCAGCCGCGGTCGCGGTCAGTCCATACGCCCAGCTGGTGGGACCCGCGGCGCTCGTGTATCCTGGGGCTTCATCGGCGGGGACCAGCCACCAACACCAGCAACAACAGCAGCAGCAACAGCAACAACTCGGTCATTTATGGTGGGCCTCGTCGTTGGGCCCGACACTGTTCGCGGCCGCGCACCATCAGCAACAGCAGCAGCAACAGCAACTAGCCAGTTCGAGTTCGCAAAATCCGGGCACGGGCCCAGCAGCTCCTCGACCTCTCTATCCCTCGGCGTTGGCTCTGGCCCATCACCGATTCTCCCCGTATCACACGGCCGCCGCGCCTAAGTCCTCCACCCCCGTCGGGCCCTCGCTCTCGCCCTCGCGAAGGGCGACACCCTCCCCGACGGACAGCCTCGGTAGGGACGCCCAAGACTTGTCGCCGTCGTAGTCGACGACCTCGGGACCACTCGGCTTCGACCCACTCGAGACCAACGCTTCGCTCATCGTTGCTCCTGGTTTATTCGGCATCGAGGTACGAATGTAGGTAATTCGGATCAAGCCCTCGGTCGTATTCCTGTCACTATTGTCACGGTCGATGGATGGTATAAAGTTGAGAGAAAAGGCGAAGCATCGTATGTGCGGTATGGTCGTTGTTATACATTAAAATGAATCGTATTTTAAAGGGGACGATACACGGTTTACAATATTACATTGACAATATAATTAACTATCATTTTCAGGAACATAATTTATAAATATGATTTTATAATTTGTTTACATATATTTCGAAAGTAATACCTTTTACTTACCTTTGAAATTACATAAAATATTTAAAATTTCTATTTTAACATTTTTTAATTGAAAGCAGAGTTCACTAAGAGAATATCCTATTTTGTTTATTATATAAATTTATATAAATTTGCAGAACTATGAAACTAATATTCTAAATTTTAATAGTATAAATAGGACGCTGATATGATTGTGAATAATAATAACGTATATTGCTGACCGTGCACTGGCCCTTTGAAGCGATCAATCGCATCGGGCGATCTTTGTTGTACATAGCTATATATACATATACATACATATATATACACGTACAAATTCACGAGCCCTAGGTAATATCGACTTCGTTCGTGTAACATAAGTTGTATATTTCGTATCACGACTTATCGTTATCTTTATTTATGTTTCGAATTCCGTACTTAACATGGAAATACGCAGAGCTGTACGACGGAAACAGTTCGCCGGTGAAGAAGAGAAAGGGAACATGAAAGATCGAGACACACACACACACACACACACTCTGCGTAGATTTTCCAGGTGTAGCTTAAGCGACGATTCATTGTCGCCGGTATCGGCGATTAGCGTTTAGCATATAGCGTTATATCGTTGATGCTTGTGTTGTGAAGATGCATTAAATATTCGCTGTGCAAGCTCTGATCCCTTGTAAATAAACCCTAATAAACTCTTGTACCGAGCCTATCTGCAATGTGTGAATTTGTTCTCCCCTCACGACAATCAAACTGAAACGTCCTTCCTTTTCTGCTTCTTTCAAATTTAGAAACAGCAGGTCTTTATAAAAAATGAATTTTTAGTTGGTTCTTCAGGTATTTTGAAATCAATTTAATGTATACGAGAAAAATTGTAAAAATATTGTGAAATACACCTGAATAATGAATTTTAAGATATAAAGGAGTTAAAATGAATTTTCCTAGATAGTCACGGATGACAAATTGTGTCCATTGTTAGTAATATAAAGAAGCCTCCTTCCGGTGAAAACGAAAATTTTACTCGAGCCGTGAGATCTCAACAGAGGAAGTGTGCATCGAGGAGAAAGGGAGCGTGACTCTCGCCGAGGGAAGGGACTTCGAGTATCATCGTCGATTCTCCTCGGTGTCCTGGATCATGCACGAATTAGAGGATTTCTTCGGTCAACCAAATACACGATTCCAAAACGAGCGAACAAACCAACGGACTTACCTTGAGTATCTAAACAGAGGCAACAGTGTTCCTCGTTGATGACAAATCCTCATCCATTTCTTGCGTTAATTTGTCTTACTCATTTCCTTATCACTAAAAGATTTATCGTATGAGAATTTTTATGCAAAATAAATCTGAATGTATAAAAAATGTGTTTTATATAACAAGTTTATAAAACTAAAATAAGGAAAGGAGATTGAAATAAAAAAGAGAAAAGAATACTAGAATTGAAATTGGTCTTTCATGTTTGCTCCCTAATTCAAAACAATTTTGTCAACGCCACCCTAACTGGAGTCCTGACTTCGAAATAATTTCGCTGAAGAAGAACACGAGTATCATACACCAGCGGATACGATCGCTAGGTAAAAAGTCGTGTGGTTCATCTTTGGAAGGGAAGGTGGACGCGCGAGGAAATTATATCAGCGCCGAGGTATCTCGCGGCTGCGGCGATGCCGCGGCAGGAAGGTGCAGAAAAGAAACGCGTCCGTACGAGAAATCTGATGGTAAGAGGAGGCGGAATATCTGCGAATCGGAGGCCAGCGCCGTTGCCGTTTTAATGCGAAACGAAGGCATTATAAAGCCATTAGCCGTTGCGCGAGTCAGATCGTGGGCCCCGGCCCCGGTTGCGTGCGAACGCGCGCATCGACGCTCTTTATTTGAATACACAAAACATTAACGGCTCTGCTCGGTCGCTCACCCTCTTGTTCTCTGCCGGATAGGACGAGTTTCCTTCTTCGGGCTCGAAAAACTTCAATCCGACATCAGATAAAGTTGAGGAATCCAATGACAGTGTCCATCATTTCAGAGAAAAATACGTATATTAAGAAGAACTTTGTTTTCTTAAATAGTATAGCATCGTGTCTATTAACTGTAATTGGCATGGGAAATAAGTAACAAATGGTGCAGATTCTCTTTTTCATTTTTTATGAAAGTTGATGAAGGAACGCCCATTTCCTGATTTCGTGACTATTTCATTTCTCGCCTCAGAGGGAAAAGATGTAAGCAATTAAAAATAAATAAGGTATGACAAATACCTACAATTATTGTATTCATTATCGTGGATATGTGTCTACATTATTTATTACTGTTAATTACTCGTATTTTTATTAATTGATTCCCTTCAGGGCTGCAATCTTATTCTGCCTTAATTCAATATCTTACGTTCTATGTTTAATCCGACAATCTCTTTCTTTCTCTCTCTCGCCTTTTTCTTATGGTGTCTTTCTCCGTATTTCATATGTCACCTTGTAGCATTTCATCTCTCTTTCCCTCTTACTGTTAATTATTGATTTATTAATAGATTCTGAAAAAATGAAATTCAAGATGTGTGATATAAGAATTCATTGTTCTTATTTAAGAGCTCATACAAAGTTAATAAATTTTGTGCATGTACATACAGTAAATGTCCAAATTTCTATTTAAGTCACAATTTCCTGACTTAAGATCGCATATGAAATTGTAGAGAAAAATCCAGCGAGTAGAAATCGTCGAATCGTGAACACAAATTGAAAATTTATTATACATATAGAAATTTTGTTTTGTAATTCCCCAATAAGCTGACCTGCAGATCGCCCGTTAAATACGGTGGATAGTTGCGGATGAACGGGATATTTTCGCGTCGAGTGTAACCGCAGCCTGAAGCGTGTCGGCGCGGAGACGAGCGGAAGAAGGATATACCTGGGCTCGCCTAATTTGCTCGGTAATGTCCCGCCGGGAATTAACGAGCAGGACGAGCACGGGGCGAGAGGTAGCACCTAGCCGACATTAATTATGTCCGCTGCCACAGGTGCCAACAACTCGATTATCAGATCTCGATCGGATACCGATCGCTCGTTTAGATTGCGTTGCCTGCCGTCGTGCCGATCGTGTGTCCCTTTACTCATTCCTCCCGCCCCGATCTTTTCCTCACCTCTTTTGCCTTTCCCGCCGCTTTTTTCCACGAGTTTGACTAATTACTTCAACCCTTCCGCACGGCACGACGACGTCGAGGTGAGTATAGCGTGCTGATTTCTTTCCACAGATCATCGCTTCGTTTATATCGAAATGAAATTTCACGTTGGCTGCACCTATTGACGTAATATCCGTGTCCCGATTAGAAAATTTTGTTTACGAATCAGTGGGGACAGCGAATGCGAGTCTCAATGCACCGCGCTGCTGCGCCGTATCCCCGGCACGGTCGTTGGCGACGCATTGGCAAATTAATTCAATCAATTAATAGTCGCTTTAACGAGCTGCGTTGCTACGGCGCGCAGCGCGGACCGCCACGGAGAGAGGACCGCGGGGGGGAAATGCAGGGAGGGATGGTGGATCGGATATGGCTACCGGAGCCACCCACGCGAAACGATGCCCTGTGGTTCGCACCTATGCTGCCGCCGCGTTTCGAGAGCCAATCGATACCGGTGCCATCCTCGCCACACCGCCATTTTATTCCGTGGCAAGCCCTTTTTTACCCCTACCGCCGCGCACCCACGTCGCCGGCACCCCAGCCCCGCCAGTCCTCGACACCCCCGGCAATTTTTAGACAGAAATGCGGAATCTAACGATCGTTTTTCCTACCCTCTTCCTACGAGCCCCCGTCGTCCTTTCCCCCTTTTTTCCCTGGCATCCTCGTTCGATTACAAAGAAGTTGGTATATTTCAACTAATGTAAGAACTAAAAAGAGGTGCCTTATCAACGTAGAATCAACAATTTCTCGAATACGAAAATATGTAATTTATAGTTTATATGAATACAATCAAATTCTCAGCGGTTCTTATGATCAGACTAAGATCACAGTAGTAGACCGATCCGATATCTTGATTTTTCTTTGGAACATATCTACGCTAGCGAGATTAGCGAGTACCGCGCGGTAGGTCGTGAACGCGAGCGAATAGAGGTGCCTCTGTTCGAGAGGAACGCTTGAACGAGTGGAAGCGAGAGAGTACGTACTGCCGTGTCGGGTTTCGCCCTTCGAGGACTCGACTTTCTTCCATCCCGTGACTCTCCGTTGGGTGGCACGCCACTCGTCTGTGAGCACCCTGCTCCGAAACTCCAATAAGCTCAAATATCGCTTAAGTCCAGTCTAACGAGCCTCCTTTTCCGTTTCTTCTGTAAAACCAATACTAGAACGCGAATCAGAATCGTTAGGTATTACATACTAATATAATACAATATGTACGTACTAGTGACTCAGGGGATTCTGGACTCACTTCGCACGCACATACAGGAAATACGCAGGTAGAACTAGAAACGACGTATGGAAAGCAGCGAACATAGAGAGAAAGAACGTGTAACATTTTTTATGTATGTGTGCGAAGCTCGGAATCCAGCGAGCCATGTACCTACTGTATTGTTGGAAACTGGGTGTAGGAATAACATCAACTTTATTAGTGGTGACATGCTGGTATAATACACTGAACCTCTAGAAGAATGTAGAATATGTCAACGACGAGTAGTCGTGTACTCAGCTCGCCAGTCCAAATTCATTTTCTCTTATTTTCTTGGCAAGGAAATGTATGTGTACATACTATGTATTAGAAATTATATCCTAGGTCTAGTGGAGGAGGACGATTTATTGCTAGTCCTTATCACTAACTACGAATGTAATTAGACTTTTGACGATTTGGTTAGCAACTCAGTAGGGCTAACACAACCTTCGCAGGTCTAAATGGTTGGTCATTGTATAAAAATACGACTGACCCTTCTTTTGTACGGTGGAAATTTACGAAGTAAAAGAAAATTGTAAAGAAAGTCATGTAAATACTGATTAGCACAATTCTAAATAAATCGTGTCAATAGAAACGAAATTTTAAAATCGTATAAATATTTTATTTTGCATAAATAGCAATCTATTCATTATACATATAAATATAAGTATCTTGTTTATTAATTACAAAATATCGTTAGAATAATTTTCATTGACGCATTCCTTCATAATTGATTAATATTTCATGTATATTCATAAGAATTCATTCAGTTATACGTTTTATTATACGTTGTATTAAAAGAATTTTCATTAATAATTTCCTTGATTATTTATTAATATTTCATGTATACTCATGTAAAAATTTATTTATTTATAAATTTTATTACACAATTCTAAGATTTGCGAGCGGATGTATAATTTTGTGACGTATGATTATTTTGCTTATATCATCGGTTCCTGGTTGCGTAGGACTTCGCCGAATTCGCAATAGACCTGAATGAAAGACACCTTCCCGTTTTAGTTTGACAGTTTAAAAGACGTCCTTCGAGATAATCCGAATGCTCGACAATAGCCTCGCGTGCCTGTGAAAATATTTCGACTTCCCGGAGATAATCGCGGAGTCTAGAACTCGGACGTTTCATCGACCGGATTACACAGGAGAATAACTTTTGTCGGGTAAACGTAAAGGAAGAAAGACAAGTCGGCGAGGTTCTCGACTTTCGCTGTGATCGATTTACTTAAAATCGTCTCCGTTGCGGAATAATCTTTTCAAACGAAGAATGAAACGTCTCGTCGATCAAAAGCTGTACGTCCGCGG